GAAGTATGATTACACCTTTTACTTGGAGATAAATTCTAGACTAAAAAACTGTCTTATAATACTATGTGACCTACCTGAAGGGACTGATTCTCTCTATATATATATATATACTTAGCCACTGTTTCACTTTGTATTATAACTTTGAGACTCCTAAATACTTTTGTTTTGGTGATACTCTATTCTTCTGGTTATTACTTCAAGATAATTTCATGGCATTAATTTTGCACCCTAAAATAAATGGAACCCCAAATTTAGAGCCATTTTTAAATTTAAAGTCATTTTTAAATTTAAGTAAAGTTCATAACATTTAAAGTTCTTCCCTACTAGGTAACACTAAACTATATAGTAGAATATTTGTTGTCTGTTTTGTACTTTTGTATTTGTTTTCATAAGATTATAGCAATATTATAGCAATAGTTTTAAGATCAAAATTATAAAATAATTATAGTAAGCAAAGCTATGCACAGGAAGTTAAAACAAATAAAAGAAAAAACACAGATCCATTAAGAGAGTAAATTCAGTTTCCTGACAATGCTGGGAAAACAAAATGAAGGTAATAACATGAAAGCTTATCTAAGAACATTTCCTGCTTACAGAAAAACTAGGAATATGACCATTATACAATTTCTATTATTCATTCTCCAATTGGGGGTGAGGGTAGAAAGTTTTATAGAATTCTTAATAGAAAATATGGAAGTTCAAAAATAATATAGAAGAAGACAAAGAGAAAAAGAAAAAGTAAATCTAATTTTTAAAACACCAAGATAACCATATAGAAAGCAAAGTGGTTTTACAGAGATTCTCATAAAATTCACCCAAGAGGATTTAATGAGTACTGTTAAAACAAAAACCATGTTTGAATTCATGGTGAATACATATTTCAACATAAACTGTATTTAGTACACTCAAATAGTAAATACATAACACTGGCAACATAACAATGCAGCTGAGCTAAGGACCTATAGTTCTGTGCATGACTTCACAAAGAGAATATTTAATACAACTAATGGATTATTGTGCAACCTATATGGTAACATCATCCATGTACATACCTGTATATAAAATTTAAGAGAAAGAAGAAGCAAGCTATGGAACAGTACCCAGTCATTTATGAATAATGAAATTATATTTAAAAAAATACATTGCTATTTTCTGTTCAAAGTTTATTTACATTTCATTGGCTGATTCTAAACTTATCATGAAAGCTGTTTCAGGGGTAAGTGGGGGAAAAGTAATGAAAGTTGAGCCCAAGTCTCACAAAAATAGAAGAGTTTACTTGATATTGATAACATTCCAAAATATATGTACTCTAATTTGGTCTAGAATGGCAACCACTGTCCCAATCAAATAGTAGTCCAAGACCTCTATTAAGTGCATTTATTATAAAACCTACTATCTGTATAATATTACTTTGAAGTTGTGATAATCCATCATCCTTGTAAGTCATTGAAACATGCATCACAGACACGAACAGGCTTCTTGGAAGAAGGAGTTAAGGCATTTTTGGCAGAACACTCAGCACAGAAGATATTTCCACACTGTCTGCAGTGATGCTGCAAATGACAAAGACAATTTCAAGCACAAAAAGTATACTGAAAGCATTGTGAGGCTGCAAGAATACTGTAAATCACAAAGTGGGTAGTGTATTATTTAATAACGTAATACTTAAATGTGTTAACTTAACCTTTTAGTTGAATTAGACGTTCCCTATTTATGATACTATGCCAGACATTTCATATGGGTTTATCATGGAATTCTCAAAAGAACCCTTGGGGACATTAAAAAGTGTTAACAGAGGGAAGTGCGTGGACTATGGTGATGGTACATGGGTGACTCGGTGATGGGAAACCCACAGGGATTACAATGGAGATGGGAAAAAAAAATGTACAAAATGATGTTAAAAAAAAAGTTATAAATAAAATAAATCTTCAAAAAAAAAAGTGTTAATAAAGCACCTCTATCAGGTGAAAAACTTCACCAAAAGTTTCAGTCATAATTTCTTCAACAGGAATATAAACTTGAAATATCATATGATGGTTATTATGATGTCATTATGATATTATGATATTATTTTGAACAAATGTTCTTCATCCCTGCCTTTTCTTCCTTTAAAGCTCTCAAAGATGACTAAACCATGAGTTTAATCCTAGTGTATTTATTACTTTAGAAAATGATTGTTCAAAAATGTAACTGAGCAGGAAATCAATGTCTGAATTTAAAACTGCAATTCAAACACTTACGCTAACCAGAAACGAGATAGTATGAAGTTTAATTGCTATGTATAGTAGTTAATTGTTACCAACAAATAAAATCCAAAAATCACACCTACATGAACAAAACCACTTACCCGCCTCACTGTTACTGAAAAGCCTTTTCCACATGCCATACAGTTTTGTACTTCATTGTCCTCCGCCCATTTTCTATTCAATGCTTGCGTTTGTTTGATCTGTTAGAAAATACATTATAATATTCAATGTTGTAAAGAATGATAAGTTCTAATTTATTACCCAAATTCCAAAAAAAAAAATGTTTTATAAAATATGCACTACAGAATAAAAATTTTAAAAATTAGAAATACTTTGGTCAACTTCCATTGTTAAAAGTGGCTACATTCATAAGTGTGAATGACCAAAAAATTAAACCTAAAGCAAACCAAATTTTATTCCTCAAAGGTATTAGCAATTTTTAATCTAACCCTAGTGATCAACCCTTCCTCAGGAGCACACACACACAGATATTTTTAGCACAAGGCCACTCATCTATTCTTTGGTGTTTTTTAATTTTGTAATTCCTTCCCAGTATTGACAATTGAAGGATTACGTGAGTCTCTAACCTCTGGGATCTCTCAGACAAGCTCTTTATCTTTTATATTTAGCTACCCATAAGCC